AAGGAAACTTCATATCGTAATTTTAAAATAAAATATTGTACTTTTATTTTTATTTTTTCATTCTTTTCAGTTTCAGTAGTGACTGGATTACGAAACCGTTGTAAAGAATGGGTCAAACATCCGAATGATGTGAATGACCTGGCCATCCGCCGGAGGGTAAACCCCTTACATTACGATTTAATTTGAGTACGTGTGTGCCATAGTCATTTATCACGTGCAGGAACGAACGGTTCAGTCTGTCATTGCCAATCGGCTAAAAGACGACGGACTTGTGAGAATTCGTTTAAGCATCAAATATTAAGTAATAGAGAATGCAGTTGGTCGTTATTTAGCCATAAGTTTCTTTTCATACTAATTTAAATGTAGCTGATTATCATGAAACAAGTAACTACTTGAACTCAATAGACTATGATACTGCCTTTGGTCTTTTGTCAGTGTGAATTATAAACTTTGTATATAAGTTTTCAACAAAATAACAATAATATTCAAGGCGTATCCAGAAAGAAAATTCAGATTTATTATTGAAAAAACATATATCTTATTTTATAAAGTGTTTAATGTGAATTTCATATTATTATTAACGTATTTAAAATAAAAATTGTCTTGTATCAAAATGGTATTCAGTGGCTGGGTTACAAACATTAATATGTATAAAAATTATGAATTATTACTATGTATAAAAAAGTCGGAATATTTATAAGCGTAATTTCTGGATACACCTCGTAATAAGTCCCATAAATTCATGTCACATCACGCTACTATTTAGAATAATATTCTACACGTACCTTCAGATGTTATAATAAAATATAATCACTCACACTACACCAAACACCAAAATTACTTTGCCTCGATTTGAGAATCCGAACACAATACATCGACGCACATTATTTAATTAATTTCTATGGGATTACAAGGGAATTTTGTAACTATACAAGAAGAATCATGCGGAGATTTATGCTGCATCGAACGGTTTCGCATGTTACATCACGCTACTATTTAGAATAATATTCTACACGTACCTTCAGATGTTATAATAAAACATAATCACTCACACTACACCAAACACCAAAATTACTTTGCCTCGATTTGAGAATCCGAACACAATACATCGACGCACATTATTTAATTAATTTCTATGGGATTACAAGGGAATTTTGTAACTATACAAGAAGAATCATGCGGAGATTTATGCTGCATCGAACGGTTTCGCATGTTACATCACGCTACTATTTAGAATAATATTCTACACGTACCTTCAGATGTTATAATAAAATATAATCACTCACACTACACCAAACACCAAAATTACTTTGCCTCGATTTGAGAATCCGAACACAATACATCGACGCACATTATTTAATTAATTTCTATGGGATTACAAGGGAATTTTGTAACTATACAAGAAGAATCATGCGGAGATTTATGCTGCATCGAACGGTTTCGCATGTTACATCACGCTACTATTTAGAATAATATTCTACACGTACCTTCAGATGTTATAATAAAATATAATCACTCACACTACACCAAACACAAAATTACTTTGTCTCGATTTGAGAATCCGAACACAATACATCGACGCACATTATTTAATTAATTTCTATGGGATTACAAGGGAATTTTGTAACTATACAATAAGAATCATGCGGGGATGTATGCTTCATCGAACGGTTTCGCATGTTACATCACGCTACTATTTAGAATAATATTCTACACGTACCTTCAGATGTTATAATAAAACATAATCACTCACACTACACCAAACACCAAAATTACTTTGTCTCGATTTGAGAATCCGAACACAATACATCGACACACATTATTTAATTAATTTCTATGGGATAACAAGGGAATTTTGTAACTATACAAGAAGAATCATGCGGGGATTTATGCTTCATCGAACGGTTTCGCATGTTACATCACGCTACTATTTAGAATAATATTCTACACGTACCTTCAGATGTTATAATAAAATATAATCACTCACACTACACCAAACACAAAATTACTTTGTCTCGATTTGAGAATCCGAACACAATACATCGACACACATTATTTAATTAATTTCTATGGGATTACAAGGGAATTTTGTAACTACATAGGAAGAATCATGCGAGGATGTATGTTTCATCGAACGGTTTCGCAAACTCGTTCTAGGGGATCTTTGAGGATTGTGTACAAAATCCACTTTTCATCCCCAGTCACTGTGTGTTTTAAGAATTGCTCTTTTTCTGTTGGTACGTCCATAGATCCAGCTTTGGCAACATTCCCATTTTCTGTAAATGTCTGTGGATAGTTGACTTTGGGATGTTTAAGATATATGACGTTTTTTGCACCGATAAACTCCTTGTTTCACCCACTAGATTACGGATTCTGTTCCCGTCTACCTCAACCGGATATCCGGCAGCGTGAAAACCACTTCACTTCATAAATGTACAAACAGAGAAAACACTTTCCCAATAATACGTATATTATTGGCAGCAATTGTTACCGATTTCATTTCTGAAACTTGTACATCGCGAGATGCCAAAAACAAATACGTATTTCGTGCAAATTGAAAACACTGTACATTCTGGAGCAAATGTGCCATGAAGCCTTTTATATACAAGTGTTTAATCACGGCTCGAAACTCACTTTTTTCCATTTTTCTAAATAAGCAAAAGTCTCTTGCTTCAATGGACAATAAAAATGAAATCGTGTGGTGGATATAACTGAGAATTTAACAGCTGTCTAGTGAGCCATGATGCTTACTAAAAACAAAAGTTTTCGATGCTACGAACACCAGCTCTTGAATTTTCCAAGGACCTATTGAACGACCCTCGTAAACATAAATACATCTACGACACGAACTTATGGGACAAACCTTAACACTATCGAATTTAGACCTACTCACGTAACTGGTGGGAGGATGAAGCTCAGGGCAGGCAGTCTCTTGCAGCACTTATGGTCTCTGGCAGCGCTTATGGTCTCCTGCTCTGAAAAAAGAAATATTATTTACCGTAATCGTGAATAAAAATCAACATTGTAACTGCACAAACAAAATCGTAACGAAAGTATATATCGTATACGACTAAATATTTGAACGTTAAATTTACTTTTCGCGTAACATATTATTTGCAATGATAAATAATGATTTAACAATACCTAATATTGGTTCAGTTATCATATCTGAAGCGCCTCTCAATGCGACTCGTTTCAGCTATACGTGGCTGGCAATAAATTCCGGAGCAAAACAGAAGCGTTCGAACGCCGTGGAAGAAGGGAAAATAAACTAAAGGGCAAATACGACGCTCGCTAGGAACAATACTACCCAAGGAGCCCGCAATTGTATTTATACAATTAAAGCTTATCTCGGGTGCTGCGTCTCGACGTCTTGCTCGCTTCGCTTTAGACACAGTTAACGCGTCGGTGAGGCGCAAGTGGATCGCGGTTATGATTATTGCGTCGATGTGCCGCTTCTAATAAAGACAACTCTATCCTATTACAACTTCCCTGTTCCCGGCATTATCTCCGTCTTCCAACCTACAGCGTAAACGCCACCACCGCCGCGGAATTGCGTTCGCGATCTCTGCATTCCTCTGAACGGAGAATCGATATCGCAATTAGCCCTTTCGCGACTGTCTGCCTTTCATTCGCGATTGGAACTGCCAACGCGAACGCGTTAACCGAAAATAGGAAGGGCGACGAAGTCTCGAGTTAAACGTCTAAGCCGGTCTACACGGTGCGCAAACAAAGCGTTGCCAAACTTTAAGGGCACGCAGAACGCGTCGAGGTAAACAGACCCGTACGACCGAGTGTTCCGCTCAAACTGAACTTCTATATTACTTCCGTTACTATTAAAGGTAAAAAGAAACAACGAGGAGTTTGAATAGTTTCGAACTGCGAACCTGATAGCGACGAAACAGTTTTCCCGCGGCCAGTTTTTTTTCAGAACACACATGGATCTTCTTGGAATTCATTCTTTTACAAAATAATAGTAAAAAAACCTTGTAACTTGACTTGCAGGAAAAACTGTTTCACTGCTACGTTGCACCACTTTTAACAAGATCAGTTTCAAAAATAATGATCGAAATACAGGAATTTTTCAGCGAAAATGAAAAGTTTCAAATCGTTCTGGAAAAATTATTTCTGGTTTCGGGGGTCAATTACAATCATTTTTGGTCAATAGACATACCTCCGAATTCCTACGCACGTTCGGGGAAAAAATTCAATAGGTTCGAAAATTTTTCGGCGAAATTAAAAAATTTCAAAGCGTTCTAAAAAAAATATTCTTAGCCAGAGGGGTGAATTACAATGATTTCTAGTGAATAGACATACCTCCGAAATCCGGCGCGCTTTCGAGAAAAATAATTCAATAGGTCCAAAAATTTTTCGACGAAATTAAAAAAATTCAAAGCGTTCTAAAAAAATTATTCTTAGCTAGAGGGGTGAATTGCGATCATTTTTGGTGAATAGACATACCTCCGAAATCCGGTGCACTTTCGAGAAAAAAATTCAATACCGAAAATATAATGTGTGGCCAGAAATGTTTCTGTAATTTCATTTTCTGTCGCACTTCCTTCTTTTGTTCATTTCTGTACCCTTGTGTAAATTGCCTCAGGACCGAGTATGCCGGATAATCGAAATTTTACTGTATTAATTACTCGTGAAGATCGTGTTTTATTGCGTCACCCAGTATGTGAAAGCTAGGGTAAAAACTTAAAGCATTTGTAACTAGACGCCCCATGCAAATCCAACGCCAAAGCGTTAAAAGTTCCTAAATTATATAGACGCGAATACAATTTCAATAACTGATGTACAAGTGTCGCAAATTGATTAATCTTCATCGTGTTTGACGATCTTTTAACATAAAAAAGAAGGAATTAAATAATCGAAGAACGTAGCTTGTAATTCCAGCCATCAGGTAGCGCTAAAAATCAGGGAGGCAACCATAACTTTCTCCCTTAAGGTTTCCAGTCTATACTCCTACAATGTGAATGGGAATTTTGGCTTCCTGAATGCAATAGCCCTGGGCAGTAAAAGTTTATGACAAGAACTGTCAAAATATTGAAATATTGACTCGAACGTGTTCGTAATTTTTATATAATGAACGTTTAGTAAACATAAAGTCACGTACGTATAACTTTTCAATATTGTACATCAGTCTTTAGTAAATTCATGTTAATTGCATGCTTTACTGAATGCTTTAAACGTTGTGCATGCAACTGTTTCAATAATGATTCAATTAAACAATGCAAAGCTTTATTGAATCATCAATGTATAGAAGTGAAATTGAATAGAAATCTGTAACAAAATCTTAATTGCAAGTGTTAATATTACATTGCACTTACAACTATGTAATTAAATTTATTTAATCTTTCATGTTTGTTTAGGATTTCATCCAAGGAGTATTTTACCACGGCATTTATAATGTCATCCGTACAGCGGGCTTTTACTCAGAAACTGAGTAAACAGCATGCTGCTGATGTACGAAGACAAATTGCTACTTCTACCTCATATTCTAGAGAATTATCAAAAAGTGGAAGTTCATTCTCAGGTTTTTCCTCCACAGTATGTGACATACAATACTTTATATATGTAATTTTGAATATTTATACTATTTGTATTAATCTAACTATGAACTTGTCTTTTTAAGATATCACTATGTGAGGTACTAGAGCCTTTAGACTATGAAGAATTCTTAGCCCAACATCAGACAGCCATTGACCGTGACCCTTTGAAATCAATATTAGACTTTCCACCAGGAGATGTCGAGTTAACTGTTGTAAAAAGGAAAATTCGAACAGAAGAACCCATTGTGCCCTATGAGTCATTGTAAGACTTATTTTAAAACGAGTAGAACTAGTGTTATTGTAGTCTTAATTAACAAGTATTAATTTTAGGGACACGGTATCTCCTTATGTTAGAAGATGTATAGAAAGTTTTACTTCTGACTGGGTAGTGGTACAGAGAAAATATAAACGTAGAGTGTCTCCTATTGCAAGAGATAGACTATTACAGGATACCCCAAGACAAGATTTTGAGGTGCTTGACTAATGAAATACATACATATATATATAAAGATAATTACAATGCAGATTTAAAATAAACGTAAAACAGGTGGATCAAGAAGATACAAATGGCTCTGGATCACCGAACGAAGAGGAGGATTTATCAAATTGTGGTGATACACCAAGAGGGTCTTGGGCAAGTTTAGATTTAAGGCATTCACAACATGACCCTCTTCTTCCGAGCTTATTGGATCGCGTCTGCCCCGAAACTATCGACCAGATGAACGAGCAAAAACGCTCGGAAGATCGTCAAGTAAGTATTAAATATTACACATAAAGGAATTAATGTTTTTGGTAATTCTATATGTTGATACTAATTTTAGGAAGCACTGTTTCCACTTTATGCACCTCCAGCTTCGCCGGATGATGAATGGCAAGAAATTGGTGCTGCACCAGAACCTACAGAACCATTTTCTCACAAAATTCTCGTGAAATGTCTTCAATTGAAACTGGAATTGGAAGTGGAACCAATCTTTGCAAGCCTGGCATTATACGATGCCAGAGAAAAGAAGAAGGTATTTGGAAACTTTCAATTTTGAAAGATAAATAACATGTATGTCATTCACTTTTACTGAAAAACTACAGGTATCTGAAAACTTTTACGTGGACATGAATTCGGAGGGTTTGAAAAGGATGCTTGGCAGTCACATTGCGTACAGTGATGCTAGTACTTTGGCAAGAAGTTGTGTCATGAGCATCAGTAAACCGAGTCCAGATTTATTCTTGGTTGTTAGACTGGACAAAGTATTGCAAGGTGATATTTCGGAATGTGCCGAACCGTATGTACGCGAAGATAAAAATAAAGATAAGGTGATTGGCTGATCTACAAATAATTAAGACGAGGATCACTTCAACTTTACTAAAATAAAAAAAACATTTTCTCAAAATAGGTAAAAGCTGCAGCTGCAGCTGCATGTGAACGCTTGGGTAGATACAGAATGCCACTCGCGTGGACTGCCATCCATCTTTCTGGGGTGATTGGAGGTGGCGGGGATACAGATAGTACCGGAAGTGCTGGATCATTAGATAGAAAATCGAGTGGACTCGAGCAGTGGCGTAAAAAAGTAGAACCACCAACTCGAAGAGGCTCTCTCGAAAGACGGAGCTCCGACAAACGACGCAGTTGGTCGCCAGACGACTTTGCCAACTGCCTCGACACATTTAGGTAAGTATTTTAAATTATACGATCCACTATAAACATCTGCCGCTTCTACGATGCATAATTTCTTGTCTAGGCCTATTACATTGACTGTTTCGAGTTTCTTTAAACAAGAAAGCGAACGCCTGAGAGATGAAGATCTCTATAAACTTCTAGTAGAACTACGAAGACCTGGTTCTAATTTGAAACGACTGAAGTGCCTACCAGGTATACTGAAATTAGATCTTAGTCCCAGGCCTGAAGAATTGCCTAGATGTTTAGACTCTGATCTCAGAAGACTGGTGCCCTATCCAGACGAAAAAAGTCGACCGGTCAAAGAAATACTCGAGTTCCCGAGCGAAGTTGTGTCGCCGGATTTAACGTATCGTAATCTGCTTTACATTTACCCAAAAGTAAATTAGCATTTGTTACTTTACGTTAATTGAAGACAGTTGCTAAGCCGCATCAAACATAAACTACTCGTTTCAGGAAGCAAATTTTAGCTCTAGAACCGGTTCTGCTCGAAACATCGCTGTAAGAATGCAACTGATGGGCGGCGAACAAGAATCTGATGCTCTTACAGCTATTTTTGGAAGATCATCGTGCCCCGAAATGACCCACGAGTGCTTCACGTCCGTATCATATCATAATAAAAATCCAAATTTTTACGATGAAGTAAAAATTCGTCTTCCCGCGGACCTGAGCGCGAAACACCATTTGTTGTTCACTTTCTACCACATCAGTTGCCAAAAGAAGGTGGAACAACCGAATGTCGAAACTGCTGTGGCGTACACGGTAAATACACAAACTTAAAATTTATACTAGGGGGGTTTAAGCACTCAATCTAATGTACATATTTAGTGGTTGCCGCTCTTGAGAGACGGACATCTACAGTCTGGCGAATTCAGTCTTCCAGCAATGCTAGATCCACCCCCAGCAAATTATTCCTACATCGCGCCTGACGTTCTTTTACCGGGTACAAGATGGGTGGATGCCCACAGAGGAGTCTTCACAGTAATTTTAGAACCAGTCTCTAGCGTCCATCCGCAAGATAAATACATCGACAGGTATAATTCTGACACAAAGTTTCCCAGATATCGAAGAACAAACGTTAAATTGAAATCGAATTACAGATTTCTATCGCTGTGCGGATTCTTGGAAACTGGCCAAGTGCCTCCGCGTATCGGCGAAGCCGGAATGGAATCCGAACTAAAATCTGCACTCTTGGAATTGGCAAGGGCATCGCATTCTGCTTTAGTGCGATCGCTACCTCAACTACTGGACCAGTTAATATCGCTTCTAGTACGTCCTCCAACATTACCGTCTCAACCCCTCAACGTGGCAGCCACGGTTTTCGAGGCTATAGGCCTATTGGTTCGAAATATAACCAATCTACCGGATGGTCAATTAGATGCGCATGGAAGGCACGCCCTCTTGGCTACATACGTTGCATATCAGTGCTCTTTACCAAGAATGTCGCACACTCCAGGTATCGTGCGAGCTCAAAGCAATCCTGATCTACCTCTGGAAGACCTGGAAATGGAAGTACACTCTCGAGGGCTCGATCGAACCGCGTCCATGCGCCAAGAATCGCCTTCCATAAACAGTCAGCCCACGAGGAGACTTTTGCACGAGGAACTGGCGCTGCATTGGGTCGTATCCACAGGCCAAGCACGAGATTTGGCTGTTACGTATTCCTGGTTTTTCTTAGAACTGATTGTTCGCTCGATGGTCGTGACACTGTCGGAAATAGGAATACTGGATGCCCCGCGAAAGTCAAGATTCTCTCCTCAATTCTGCGACGACGTAGCGACGCTCACCGCGGCATTAACTTCTGAAGTGATATCCAGATGCGGGAAGGAAACCAGAGTACCCAATAATTTGATATCGAGTCTCGGTAACTTCCTTTCCGATTTGCTGTCGATAATGGACAGAGGATTCGTTTTGTCTCTGATTCGCGCCGCGTGTTGCTCTTTGTCGGACGCGTCCATGCATATTCCTGATTCGGCTGCTCTCTTCGCGCTCAAGCTGGATCTCGTGCGCACCGTATGCTCCCATGAGCACTACGTGGCTCTGAATCTTCCTTTTGGTACTGGATACACGTCAGGATCGGCACCAGCATCCCCCAGTCCATCCACGGGTAGCTCGGGCAGTTTAATATCTACCCTTGTTCCTGGGGATCGTGCCAGATTCTCTGAGCTCAGCCAAGAGTTCCGACAACAACACTTTTTAGTTGGAATCGTTTTATCCGATCTATCGAACACGTTGGAAATACCAAATCCGATGCTCCAAAACAAAGCTATCGGAACCGTTCGACATCTAATGGCGTACCACGACGTAGATTCGAGGTATTCTGATCCCGCTGCTAGAGCTAGAGTCGCTGCTCTCTATCTGCCACTTCTAAACATCATAATGGATGCTTTGCCTCAATTGTACCATTGGGATTCCAAAGACAAGAGCGTGTATCCGGACGAAGCTGCGTCCATCACGCAATCCGTGGCTCTGGCCATAGCTGGAGGTGTGTCGGCAGAGACGGCAGGAACTCAGTGCAGAGTTTCTTTGAGTTCAGAGGCCACGCGACATCTCTTGATGTGCGTGTTGTGGGTACTTAAAGGATTGGAACAGTCGGCGCTGGTGCAATGGTGCTCGGAGCTGAGTTCCAGGCGTATATTGTGCCTTCTTCAGGTTCTGAATATCGCCACGGCAGCTTTCGAATACAAGGGCAAGAAAGCGCTGAAGAGACTACCGCCACAAGCTGCTGCTACCAGCGATATTAGATCTAGGTTGGAAGATGTTATTCTCGGTCAAGGGAGCGCCAGAAGCGAAATGATGCTACGCAGGAAGGAGAGAATGACCGGTGACAAATTAAGGTGGCGTAAAGACCAAATGCCTTACAGGTATGTTATTGAGTATTTATCAAGATTCGAATCACGAGACTAGACAACTAATTCCTATTCTCGAAGGTCTTGCGAACAATCCGAAGGGAGAGCTGTGGAGCAAGATGCCCACATAGAAGGTGCTTTAGCAGCTGAAGCTTCCCTTGTTGTTTTGGATGCTTTAGAAATAGTTGTACAGGCTGATGGCGGAGGAGGTAAATACTCAACTTAATATTACACTCTATCTATATTTTTGTATCCCTTCAAACATAAATTTGTGTAACGATGCAGGCGCAGTTGTAGGAGCAGTATTAAAAGTTCTTTTAAGAGCATTAGCCAGAAATCAAAGTACATCCGTATTGCAACACATGTTCAATACACAACGAGCATTAGTGTTTAAATATCACAGTGCTCTATTTGACGAAGAGAGTGAAAGATGTGGCGATCTGTGTTTAACATTACTCACTAGATGTAGCTCTCCTTTAAGTGCTGTTCGCAGCCATGCTGCAGCCAGTCTTTATTTACTGATGCGTCAAAATTTTGAAATTGGTAACGTAAGTGTTTCAAGAATATTTCCTTCGATTAATAAAATATGTTACCTGAATGCACAATGTGATGATTTTAGAATTTTGCGCGAGTTAAAATGCAAGTTACAACGTCTTTATCGGCTCTTGTTGGAAGAGGAAGAGCACCTAGCGAAGGAGCACTTAGAAGAGCATTGAAAACTGTACTAGTGTATGCTGAGAGAGATACAGAATTGGCTGATACGAGTTTTCCAGAACAAGTAAAGGATCTTTTGTTCAATCTACACATGATACTGTCTGACACTGTTAAAATGAAGGAATTCCAAGAGGATCCTGAAATGCTCTTGGACCTCATGTACAGGTAAATTTATAATATTTATAATAATAATATGAATAGCATAAGCAATCTTCAAAATAATAAACAAAATCTGAAATCTAATTCTTTAAAGTGTAATATAACAACATAAAAATTTTGAAAAAAGAAATATTATTTAATGTTAAAAATTAATTCTGTAGAATTGCAAAGGGCTATCAAGGATCGCCAGATCTTAGACTCACATGGTTGGCAAATATGGCTCAACAACATATGGAAAGAAAAAATCATACGGAGGCTGCTATGTGCCTTGTACATAGTGCTGCGTTGGTAGCAGAATATTTACATCTGTTAGAACCAGGGGGTGGAGGTCGACCAGTGGGAGCTGTTGCTCTATGTCCTGTCACGCCAAATGCTCTAGAGGAAAGTGCTGTTGGAGACGACGTATTGGCTAGAAGAGAGGAAGGTTTATGTTTAGGACCAGACTTTTCAGAAAGTGGGTTAGCTGGCTTACTCGAGCATGCAGCCAGTTCTTTCCATGCAGCTGGAATGTACGAGGCTATCCCTGACGTGTATAGAGTGTTACTTCCAATAGCAGAGGCTGCCCACGATTACAAAAAACTAGCCAACATTCATGGGTATTGTCAAAGTGCTAACGAAAACTGTTGAGATTTATTAATGTACTAACTTGAGCTTTTCTAATTATAGGAAGCTTCACGAAGCGTATACACGCGTAGAACAATTAGCAGGGAAGCGAGTATTCGGCACATACTTTAGAGTGGGATTTTATGGAGGACGATTCGGAGATCTGGCTGGTGACGAATTTGTTTATAAAGAACCAACCTTAACAAAATTACCAGAAATATTTTCGAGACTCGAGAATTTTTATGCTGAAAGATTTGGCGCAGAGAATATCGTGATAATAAAAGACTCGAATCCTGTAGACCCTAATAAATTAGAACCAGATAAGGCCTATGTTCAAATTACTTACGTAGAACCATACTTTGAACCACACGAACTTAGGCACAGACCAACTATTTTTCATCGAAATTTTAATATCAGTAAGTATTGGTTTAAATAATTTAAATTTAAACAATTTATGCGTTATTGTCATCACTTAAAATTATTTTTAGAACGATTTGTGTATGCAACACCTTTTACACCTGGTGGTAAGGCTCATGGAGAATTGAGGGAACAGTGTAAGCGTAAAACAATTCTAACAGTGGCTACACACTTCCCGTACTTGAAAACAAGGATTCGCGTGGTTGCTAGAAAGCAAATAGTCTTAAGTCCAATTGAGGTTGCTATTGAAGACATACAAAAGAAAACTGCAGAGGTATGCATAATTCAAAAGTGTAGTAAAATTTAATTTAATTCTTTTATTCTATTTATCTAAATTTCATTTAGGTTGCTGCAGCTACGGCTCAAGAACCACCTGATGCAAAGATGTTACAAATGGTGTTACAAGGTTGTATCGGAACCACAGTTAATCAAGGACCCGCAGAAGTTGCAGTTGTATTTCTTTCTGGATTGCGTGAACAAAATGCACAGCCCACGAAATTGCAGCATAAACTACGTTTATGTTTTAAAGATTTTTCAAAGAAGTGTCTCGATGCCTTGAGAAGGAACAAAAATCTAATTGGTCCAGATCAGCGTGATTATCAACGAGAATTAGAAAGGAATTACCAAAGACTAACAGAAAGGCTCACTCCTCTTATTGCATGGAGGTATGTAAATTTTAATTTCAATTAGTAATACTTTCTTCGTTATCTTTCATATAAATTTTTGCATTATTATAACAGTGGACCGTCATTACTAATTCCACAAAATTTACCACAAGCATCACCACGCTGGTAAAATGACTGTAAAAGCTGCTAACTAAAAGTTACCAAAGATCAATGATGCATAAATGGAATATTTAAAAATTATTAGCAGCATACGCTATAATATTAAAATATAGGCGTATATATTATATTTATATGCATTCATTTTTTATACTAATGAAATGTTTTGTCTGCCTTGGACTTTTTAAGAGAATACTACATTCATATCTAACAAAAAACTAGAGCATATGTTATGGAATAACTGCTTATCCTACTGTTCAATAAATGCAATTTGCTTGTTGGAATAAATATTTCAGTAGGAATCATTTTGCTTTTTAAAGGTAAATAAAAAATTAAAATTTCATACTTAATATGCTTTTTCATTAAAACTGATGTAATTTTTGCAATATTTTACACAGATAAACAAAAATGTCAATATTTAAATCATTAGTATTATTTTTAATTATTAATAATGTAGACAAATATCATATAATTTATAATAATTTGAAATAATATTAGGTAGTTCATAAATTCATGTGCATTTATCAAAATATGAGATAGAGAAATAATTATTTACTTTGTATTACCTTAACAGAAATTTTAAATTTTATTTTCACAAAATAATACTGGTTTTGAGATAAAATATTGTAACTAGAATAAATGTTTTCCTTTTATCTTCTTATTTTCAAAAAATTATAACACTGTATTTAGTACTTCATTCATATATACATATAATGTGTATTAAACTTGATAACAATCCATTGTCATAACTTACTGTCAATTAACATCCAATGTTAGATACACAACAATTATGAAAACAGAAACTATGCTAACTAAACAAGATAATGGAAGAAAAAATACGATATGAATGTACATGATCTTATGGATTAACCTAAGATAAATCTTTAATGAGATGTAACTGATTGTATTTTTATTTTACATTGCAATGCATAATGCACAGCATAAGTATATAGAATTATTAAATATTTATGTATTTAACTACTAAGAGAACTGTGATTTTTCAATTATATTATATATTATATAATACTTTAAACCAATTGCAGAAACTTGTAATAATAGATTTTTTACCAAAATAGTTTCATATTTTTTATAAAAGATAAATAAAATTAGTCATTTATAATAAGTAACTTGAGTTTTTTGTCAAAAATAATATTCTGTTGTTAATATCATGTAAGTAATTAAATGTTAATATTTCATTAGAGGTGTACAATATTTAAAATATCTGTAAATGTTTTCAAAATTACTTTTTTTTTATAGCCTACGTTAAAAGTCTATCATTAAAAGTTTCTCTAATATTTCTGAAACATGATAAACAAACGATTGAATATAAAAAATGTTTAAAATATGCAGTCAGTGAGTGATCTACTGAGTTTCTATAATAACACTGGAAAATAAAATGTTTCAATTGCTATGCACATTCTTATCATATCTACGAAGTGCTTTATAATTTAAAATTTTTTAGTCGAATGCCAGACGACATAACATTTACATAAACGTATAAGTTTCTCACATTATATCTAATGCTTCATAATAATTATAAATACACATATTAATAGGATAAACTTGTATTTTGTTGCAAACATGCTTAATGAAACCGTAATGAAACAAATGTGTATGCAACGTCTTTGTAAACATAAATTATAGAATCGACTTGGAATTTTTTTAAATTGTAAACTTAAAAAATTTATATTTTATCAAAAATGCTTGGATAGCAGTACACGTTATATTTATACAAGATAACTTAGCAGAACTGCCATGAATGTAAACTTTTGTATGTCATAAAATATTTAAAATATATGTCCATTTTATACTTCGCTATTTATAAACATTTTTTGCCTTTCTTTTTCGTAAAAATAATTAAAAAATGCGACTCACCAATTGTAGAAATTCGAACGCAAGCAAGAATCCACGGCAGGGTGCGATGATCGATTCACATAATAGATTCAGCACCTGGACAAAATGAAAATAAGTTAAATACAAGAACTATTATCAACAAAAGAATTGTTCGTTTCGTGAAAATCATACAATCAAAGCGAAATTAATATGAAACAAACAATTATAAATTTGAAACTGTGAAATACATTGATTCGATTACGTGCTGAAACAAATGAAAATATACTGTACCTTTTAAGAAGAATATAAATCATGTATAGAATAACACAAGTATTTTCTGGGGATCGTTACACACTTTAAAACAGTTACAACAAGAAATATTTAAGAAATAATTGAATATTTTATCTCAAGATGCGACATCGATCCGTACGCTTCCGATCACCCGTGGGGAATAAGGATTTGCAATAATTTACCCAGCAATCCTCGCGCGAAACCGTTGAAGCTAGACAGCTATATATATATTTTCGGTACGAATTACAGTAAAATTAATAGAAATATGTAATTAAATAAAAATTAATCTCATTGAAACTGCGAAATTATTGAAAATAAACAATATATGTAAGTTTCTTTCTCTTCAAACAATGGTAGTTGAATTTTTTATTTGAGCTTGCAATAGTGACGTCACGTAGCGCCTTTTCTCATAATTTGAAGTGTCTCGGCTAGTGTTTTCACACGAAATTCAAATCGCTTGAAAATGCATGGTACTCTTTACTCGACTTTATCCTTGATCAAAATCGAAATTTGGAATTTATTTTTTCTAGTTTCATTAGATTAGAACTGTCAGAGTTGATATATTAGAAATTTTGTGTTATCTTCTATTATTATAATTAATATAATTATGTTTTGAGAACAATTAAAAAAATTGTACGTAACTTGCAGGTTTGAAAATTAAATACGTTCGGTTAAGTAAAAAAAAAAATAGTTGGCATTTCAATGGGCTGATTGCTCGTTAACTGTTCACAATGCTTCAGTTTATACGTGTAACTTGTTTTTCTCTCGTTAAAGTCGCCATTCATTACCTGGATATTCTTTAGCCGGATACATTTGTAGCAGGCCTGCAACGTCGCTCTAAACTAAACGTCCGAATCCGATTTTCGGCTTAACCCCTTCGTTTAAAACGAAAGGTTCATGCATAGATAAAGATATTACAAGCTCAAAGGGGTACTTAATTAACGAACACGATGGCGAGCATTGATACTGTACACGGATCTGAAACATTTCGCGTCCACTTAAAAATTTCAAACCCCTTATTTTGCATAAATGTTTACAGTTAATTCGGTTCATCGTCTTTTGGCCTTATACACGGTGTTTTCTGTATTCTGAAAATACAGAAAAAATGTATAAAAATACAAATGGACCCTGTTCAACTTTGCTTCAAATAAGGGTTTTCCCAGTCGACGGGAGCACAAAAGGGGAGCACAAAGGCCGTAATAACCCTCCTCTGAACCAGGCATGAAAGTTTTTGCGGCGTCGGGCGAACGATTTCGGAAAAATAATATTCTTCGGCAGTCCCCATGGAATGCAGTCGCGTAACTGACAGTTCTAAATAGCGTTTCGCCGTGTCGTCGGTCGCTAATCCGTCTAATCTGCCCCGAAATGAAATAGTTGCGATTCTTTCGGTCCGTGTCCTTCCCCTAACGCACCACGCGCTCAAGTGGATGGAAACACTTGACCCCTGGCGACATGGGGGACGATGGCAGTATACAACAGGGGGATTATATTCAGGTGGAGAGGGGGACAAAGTGACTGTCGAAGATAGGATCGTTCTTCCCTTTAATCGGCCACGGCCACTTTGAACCTGCACCCCTGCGCGCACGAGACACGTTTAATGAATCGGCGCTGAAATTCCTGATGCTTATTTGACTCGTCGACACGTTGATCGCCGGGTGCAGCATGCTCGATCATGCTAAAGTTTGCGTTAAAAAATTCCTGAGCTTGCAAGAAACATCGAACAAATAACATGGTCATTCAATAAACAAAGAGACAAAACTGTGAATTATTAAGACAAAAAATTAATTTTCAACAAAGTATAGATTATGTATATTTTTCTTAGAGTAGAACATTTACAGTGGACCAGATAACGTGTAAATTAATACCATTTTGTCAAAGAGATAAAATGCAAGAGACTAAAATGTGGAAAATTGTGGAAAGTCTAGTCGTGAAATGTATTCATTTTACCTTTTTAAACAAATGATTTTAATTTACTATTTAATCACGTTTTGTTCTTGTGCAATTTATTTACTTCTAGGTCAAGTTTTGTATGCCTAGTCGCATCTGAGGTTTGATGAATTGACCTTTGGGGGGAGTTCATCAGTATCCTAATTAAAATTAACCGAATAGATAAATTGTTATTATGCTTTGGTATTAACAGAATTCAAACTATCGTTTGAATTTAATCGCGGTAGCCATATTGTTAACGTCGATTATGCAGGCAGTACATATAAAAAGATACGTACACGTTTATGAGAAAAATCCGTAGGCAAAGGATCAGGCGACGTTACAGAATAATATGACCCGCGTCGTCCCACCCTTGTCGCTTTTTGATTCACCTACGTGCCTCTGTGACCCCTCCTGTTCTCGAGTCGAAGGTGGGGCAGGGGGGACGCAGCGGAAAGTGCGGGAGGGAGTGCTGACTTTTATTACCCCGTCTGATGTTATGAATGCTGTACGCAACCCCTCTGCGTGAATCCCCACGTCTATACTTCGTTTCTGTGAAGCGGTTATGCTTTTTACGACATGTATATTCGTGGTCGCGATTAGCAACGGCCATAGACCGAGCAAACGATGAAAAATTTACGATCGAAATCTCTGAAGAGTCCTTTGCTACCCCACTCGAGGACAAGTTATTATTAAAAAATGTACAAGTCCTCGACATGATATTTTTTATGAATAAAATGGGTAGAAAGTATTTCTAAATCAAAATTTTATTAAAATTAACTAAAGGGGAAGGCTCTTGCAAACATTAATAAATTTTTAAACCATCAAAAAAGTCACTGAACTACGAAACGACCGAAGTTTTAATTAAATATTTCTAGGAATATTTTGGTGGCTTGTTCGGATGAACTCGCGAGGGGTGTTCGTTCATACCCAATGCTAGCCACTGTCTGAATGAGATTGCATCGTTATTGAAGCTCTTCCTGCGCCGGTGGCTGACCCGTGATCGAAGTTATGATGTATGGTGTTGGTTTCAGAGATGCAGGTGCAGTCGGACGTTCCGCATTGCCCACGACTAATCGTAACGAAAATATTTGTATGCTTCTCGCCCCTTAATAACAGA